CCCCAAAACCCCAAAACCCCAAAACCCCAAAACCCCAAGATGCTAGGATTAGACTGAACCATAGAAGATTAATATTTCGATAGCTGTTTTGGTTGAGGACTCATTTACTTTGGCCTCAATTTTTCTTCACAGACAGGGCAGATTCTCTTGGTGCGCATTTCATTCATCATACACTTGAAATGGAATTGATGGGCACATGCTGATGTCACAATGTGTTGGTTTTCTTCCATGGATTCTTTACAAACAGGACAGAGCTCAACCTTCGATTCCTCAGAAATTCTTGAAATTTCGCTCTCGACAGAAGGAACATCATCAGGGAGTAATTGCCTCGTCTTCTGAGCCATCGGCTTAAGAATAAATGTCTTTCTAAAGCTTTTTGCTCTAATCAACTGATCATGGATGGTTAGCCTGTCATAAATTTCGAAGATATTTTCATCCATCTTGGGCTTGACTTCTGCGAATCCTTCGATGTCGTATCCTTCGATACTGTAGTTTGTACTGACGCTTTCGTTTAGGTCTTGCTTGGGGGCTGCTTTAGTTTTGGTGAATCAGCAGTAGAAGGGCAAATGGAAAATGTACATGATATACGTGAACGGGTGGAAATACACAAGGTGGTACTTGTTGTTATACAAGGCAAGGATCCCATAGACTGAGATGTAGATGTACAAGTAGAGGTATAATAACCAAAGTAATCAGAAAGAGGCATCTAGTCTCTGGTCGTATATTGGAGTTAGCACTAGGATTCATCCAAATGCTCACACCAAAGGGGTAAGGACTATTATGTTTCAGGATAATTTTCTATGTCATTGTTCGCGCGGGTTTCTATAGCACAAAAGGTCAGATGCCATTGAACTTTCTATTAGAAATTTTTGCGAAAGATTGGCTTATAGTTCGTGGGCCTTAATGGAACGAAACAATTTAAAACCCACTTGTTATCTAGTAAAAATTATGTACGAAAGCAGTAGAATTGTTTCGAAAAGCAACTAAAGCTCTCTCAGCAGAAGGCAGAGAGTCTTTTCGATCATAGAGTTACCCATATAATAATTCATCAATATCTTCAGAGACTTACTTGATAATTTTGACTAAGGCAATATTAAGGTGTCCAATAAAGAAGAATGATGAGTAACAAAACAATAGAGGGTTACACTGAATCTCTCCGTCTGGTCTCCTATAATGGATTAGGACTAACTTTGGTACCTGTGTCGTTCAGTCAGTTCGTCAAACTTAATGTTCTCTGCAGCATAAATCACAACTCCAATAGAACTGACAACTTGATAGTAATATAGGATGCTATAGAGCAAAGTCTGCTGTACTTCAAATTCATTAGCAATCATTCTCAGAAGAGGAAAAATACAGAAGAACACAATTGAAGCCACAGAAAGGCTTATCTCAAACCCGTAAGAGTGAATCACATTGAAGAAATGTCCCATATCTTTTATTACAAATATTATTTTAATCTCAACTTTCCAGTTTTAAATGGGGTTTTGGGGTTTTGGGGTTTTGGGG